GAGGGCAACAAATGTACATGTGCTTGACAAAATGGACGTATGTATGGACTGTGATAAGAATTGTACGAGCCTCCAATAAAATGATTAAAAAAATTATCAGTATCTAAATACGACTCTTTTGAAGTCATCAGATAGTTCCAATGCCATTCCTTTCTCAGAAATGACTTATGCTTCTGTGATTTGGTTATTTGTTTGAGGCACTATCTAGTTTCTTTGTGGAAACTAAAACTGTTCATTCCACGGGAAGACAGGGCTTTCTAGTCTCATAAAGTTAGTCTTAGACACTCACAGGGACAGTTAGTTCTACCTGGTCCTACAGGGTGGCTGAGTTGGAACTGACTCAATGGCTGTGAATTTGGTTGAGTTTTAGAGACATTGTGGGGCAGTTATATTTGTGTTTAATTGAGCTATGTTGGTGTGATCTAAGTCACTCACCACCTGGTGGCTGAGAGACGGACGCATGTGCACAGTTCTCTACTGGTGAAACACAGGTGAGGGTAGGTTTGACTGGCATCTCTCAATGGTCAGGTGGTACAGCAAGGGGAAGTGGTCCCTGTCTAACACAGGGTGGGGCAAGAAAAAAGAACAAGAGTTAAAACCACCAGTAGCAATAAAGGAAGAAAAAGCAAGCAGGGGAAAAGCAGGCAAACAACATGAAAAATAACTAAAAAGAAAAAAGAAAAAAATTAAGTACTAGTGAAGAAAAAACACAGTAAGATTAGGGGGAGGAGGAACGAGAATAGCAACTAGAAGAAAGAACAAAGGAAAAGTGGGAAAGGGAAGAGAGAAATAGAAAGAGGAAAACAGAGAAAAAAGAAACCAAAAAACGAAGGAACTAACACAGCTCACAGGGTAGGTGGGGTAAAGGGATGGGCACCCCAGTCCTTGGTGGAGTTCCGACTGGCCTAGCAGTTGTCTGGGATCAAGGCACCTGGTCCTCTCGGTTCAGATGGTTGAGGGCAGGGAAGCTGGGGATGGAAGGTGTTGCTCGGCAGTGGTGGTCAGGGATCCAGAACACTGTTCTACTGGTCGGGTGAGGGGTGAGTTCAAGCAACTCCAGATGTGGGGCTGGTGTACCTGGCACCCATCCACCAGGGCTCCGCTCTAACCTCTGGCACAGTAGAGGCTCTGGGGTGCAGGAGATGGTGTCATCAGCTGCTGGGTGAGTGGGGATGGGGGCCAAGCACTCTCCTGTCATGAGGATATAGGGAACAAGAGGATTCCTACCTTTCTCATCCACAGCCACTGGTGTGCCAAGCTGTCTCATTCCAAGGCTGCATTTGAAGGTTCGAAGGCCACACTTCATCAGGCCAGCTGACAATTCAATGGTCTGTATCTTCTCCCCACTTTTGTTCAG